TAGTATCTATGGTTGGAATACCGGCCCCCCGTATCCTTTCTCATCTTTTCTAAGTATTTCATTAATCTCCCCAATTTATTTTGTTTAATATCAAAAGTGGCATGGTCGAAATATTTAAAATCTCCTTTGAGTCCCTAAAGAAAACCAATAATCCACAACAACCCATAATAAATTTGAAACACCACAAGACATCACAAATATCAATCAAGTGACAAATAACCACATACTTCACAAAAGTTAACTATTATCAAATTGTGCATTCAAGCATACTTACCCAAAAACATAACCTTAATCAACACAAAACTATTAAGGACCAACTTATTTCTATATTCTCCTTAAGCTACTTAATTCCAAAATTCCATTGCTAATAAATTCTAGGATCAAGAAAACATGTTAGTTTAGAGAAATTCGGGTATTCAGCACAACACCCCTGAACTTCTGAAAATTACAGTTTTGCCCCCAAAGTTCAAGACTCACACATGCAAATTAATCTAAAGGTCAAAAATTCATACTTTCACGAAAATCAACCCTTCACTTATCTGAAATTTAGATTAATGCAGAAAAATCCAGTTAGGAGTTATTTAATGCAGAATTTTCGGAAATTACATATTTCACCCTAGGTTCTCTAGATCTATACATGCAAGACCTTAGAAATTCACGAAAATCCTTTTTCTTGTAAAACCTTTTAAAAACGGACATTATCCTACACTAAATGCTGGAAACCAGACCTGGAACGCTATTTGAAACTAATTCTCAAAAATTACAGATTTACCCCAAAACTCTTTCAAATTACACATGAAATCACACTACAATTGTCAAATCTATTCTTTTCATGAAGAACCCCTAAAATTCCGAAATCTTTACTTAATTTATGCAGAAAATGAAACTAAACTGTTAAATTATGCAGCAACTTTGGAAAATTTCATTTTTCACCCCAAAACTTTTAGATCCATACATGCAAGACCCCTAGGAGTTCAAAAATTACTTCTTTTTGTAAAACTTTTTCCTAAATCTGAAATTTCTGTTCAAGAATGCTAAAAACCAGTTTTAGAAACTCATATGAATCTGACTTCTCACAAATTACGGATCTGGCCCAGAAATATGCAGATTTACACATGCAACCCCAAAACTTTTTCAAATCTAATTTTCTTCACAATTTTTGAAATAACTGAAATTTCTTTGAAAGCCATTAACTCAAATCTACCATTTAAGACCTCTGATCATACATGCAATGACATAAATCATATGAACTAACAAAAAGAAACCATTAAATGCAAGAACAACATAAAACAAGAATTATGGGTGTCTTTTAATTAAATTTCGAAATTTTGTTCTTGATACTTGATACCCTTTGCAGCAAGGATTTCGATTCCTTACCTCAAAAATAGAAAGGAATAAAGGCTAGATGAAAAGGGGAAGGTTCTTGGGAACCTTCAAAGAAAACCGAAAGTTAGAAGAAGAAAGGAACGAAGAAGAAAGAAGGCGTTAGAGAACTTTGAATGGCAGCTTCTTACCTCTTCAAGCTTGGAGATTCAACCAAGCTACTTTGATATGGAAGGACACGGTATAGATTTCAAGATGAGAGGTGTTTTCACTAGTGAAAGGACACCATGTATTTATAGTGTTCTTGGAGTATTCAAGGGCAAGGGTGAGATAGGGAATTCTCATCTTTGGCTTGAGAAAAATCTTGTTGGTTTAAGGGTGGTTCGAGCTTGTTGGAGCTGATGACAATGGTGGGTTGAGGAGGAAGAACTCTAAGGGAGAGAGAGAGACTCTTGGCCTTCTAATAGGCATGCTTGAGGTGGAGTGTGGGAATGGCATTAGTAGGGATTAGGCTAGGCTTTAGGATTATTATTATTATAATTATTTAATAACCCTCCTTAAACACACACACACACATACACGGCACACATATATATATATATATATATATATATATATATATCTACCAATATATTATGCATTTGATAATTATGCTAAGTCCTAGTCATGCAAGTATGATTCACCCGTACACCTATGCACATAAGGTCACACATAAAATACTAATCTTAGCACATAATAATTCATGTATAGCCCTACAATTACCGGAGTTTTAGTATCTAAGTGATGTGAGATTGTAAGTATCGTAAGTATCGTGTTTTGAAACGTGGGGAGTTACAATCTTCCCTCCGTAAAAAATTTTGTCCCCAAAATTTGTTACTTGTCCCGAATAATTCAGGATAGAGACTTCTCATTTCTGATTCGCGTTCCCACGTAGCTTCTTCGGGGGTGTGGTTCTGCCAATGTATTTTGACTAGGTGAATCTCTCAGTTTCGAAGTGTTTTAGTTTTGGAGTCGAGAATTCGGAGGTGTTTTTCTTGTAGGAAAGGTTAGGATTTAGCTCTATAGGTTCGGTTTTGAAGACGTGATCAGGACTGGAAATGTATTTGTGAAGCATAGAAACGTGAAATACATTATGGATTCGGGATAGGTTAGGTGGAAGTGCTAGTCGGTAAGCGCGACTGCCTATTCTTTCGAGTATTTCAAATGGTCCGACATATCGCGGGGATAGTTTGCCACGGTTCCCAAATCGTAAAACTCCTTTAAAAGGGGCTACTTTTAGGAATACTAGTTCTCCGACTCCGAACTCCAAATCTCGCCTCCTATTATTAGCGTAGCTCCGTTGTCGGTTCTGGGCAACTTGCATAGTTCCTCGGATGTCTCGAACTAGGTTCACCGTCTGCTGTACCAAGTCGGGTCCGAGAAATTGTCTTTCTCCAACTTCATCCCAGTAAAGGGGAGACCTGCACTTGCGTCCGTAAAGTGCTTCGTATGGGGTCATTCCGATTGATGATTGGAAACTATTATTATATGCAAATTCAATCAACGGTAGTCGAGATTCCCAGTTGCCTCCAAAGTCGAGTATACAGGCTCGCAATAGGTCCTCAAGGGTTTGGATCGTCCGTTCTGACTGGCCATCGGTTTGGGGGTGAAAGGCAGTGCTGAAGGACAACTTGGTTCCCAGAGTTTCTTGCAAACTTTTCCAGAATTTCGAAGTGAATCGTGGGTCTCGATCCGAAATGATAGTGGTCGGAATTCCATGTAGTCGGACGACTTCTCGCACATAGAGTTCTGCGAGCTTATCAAGGCTAAACGTCTTGCGGATTGGAAGAAAATGGGCCGATTTGGTTAGCCGGTCGACTATTACCCAAATAGAGTCGGATCCGCGTTGGGTCCTCGGAAATCCTTGAACAAAGTCCATTGTTATCACTTCCCACTTCCATTCGGGAATTTGGTTTGGTTGTAGTAATCCTCCGGGTCGTTGATGTTCTGTCTTGATTTGTTGGCAAGTGAGGCATTGGGCAACGAATCGAGCTATATCTTTCTTCATTCCAGGCCACCAATATAGTTTCTTCAGGTCTTGGTACATTTTGGTTGATCCGGGATGACATGTATATAGGGTCTGATGTGCTTCGGCTAAGATGAGTCGTTTAATTTCTGCATCATCGGGAAGGCAAGTGCGGTTTTGGAATTGGAGAAGTCCGTCTTTGGAAATCTGGAAATTAGGGTTTGATTCGAGATTCAAACGAATTTTCCGAAGCTGAAGGTCTTGGTCTTGAGCTGTTCTCACGCGGTTCTGAAGATCCGATTTAACCACTAGGGTGTTTATCGACTTCCGACTAAGGGCATCTGCCACAACATTCGCTTTCCCGGGGTGGTATAAGAATTCACAGTCATAATCTTTAACCAGATCGAGCCATCTTCGCTGCCTCATGTTTAATTCCTTCTGCGTGAAAAAATACTTCAGGCTCTTGTGATCGGTGTAAACGGTGCACTTATCGCCGTAGATGTAGTGACGGCAGATTTTAAGTGCAAAGACTACTGCTGCGAGTTCTAGATCGTGAGTTGGGTAGTTCTTTTCGTATTCCTTGAGTTGACGGGAGGCGTAGTGTTGAGTGTAGATATTACACTCAATACGTTTACTTTACGTGGAACTTTTGTTTAGATTTAATTATATTTGTGCTTTAATTGATTGATTTTGTGTTTTATAGGTGAAAAACGAGAATTAGGTGTCCATGAAGGAAAAAAGATCAAAAAGAAAGGAAAAAAGTTGCAAATAAGGAAACAAATCAAATTGGAAGAAGGAATCCCGCCACAGCTTTGACAGTGTCCACCATTTCGAGCATATCTCTCTCATACGAACTCCGAATTAGGTGATTTTGACGGCATTGGAAAGCTAATTTCAAGGGCTACAATTATTATTTACACAAAATTCCAAAATTCGGACTCCAACATGGCACAAATCAACGAACAAATCCTGGTGGGGGAAAGTGACGGAAATTGATTCCTATTAGGTTTCCACTACTTCCTTATCAAGAAAAGCCTATAACAGCAACAAGTCTCTACACCATAAGCACGAAATTTTACACCAAAAAACGCGGAGAGCGAAGATCAACGAAGACTCAAGAATAGTTTTTCTTATTTATTTTATTTATTCTATTTTGTTTATCATAAGAATTACGAGTAGCTAAGCTTTTAATCTAGGATTTTGTCGGAACCCTATGTGGGGATGGTGATCCCGTTTTCTTGAGATTATGCAATTATGATTTTATGATTATTTCTTCTACTTGTTATGATTGTTAGTGCATGAACTTGATCAATTTATGTGCTTTATCTGTGATTATTGGGATTGACTCGACAGAGCTATTTTGATAATTAGACGGTAAGTAGAAGAACCTTCGAGTAGTTTTCACCGGATGAGTGTG